GCGGCTGCGGGAGGCGGCGGCGCTCGGCGATGCGGAGGAGGTGCGGCGGCTCGTGGAGCTGGGGGTCGGCCTCAACTCCCAGAATGAAGTCAACGGATGGTAAGGGCACCCCCCGAGCCCAGGGTCTCTCAGGGAGCTCGGCTCCGTGCGGAGGCTGCCGCACGGGAAAGGCGAGCGAGGCAGGGTGAATTGAGGAGAAGGAAAAGGTCCATTTGCCTCCGAATACCCCGTTATGGGGCTGTCCCTATTCCAGAGAGGATAACCGGGGTCACAAACACGCGTCCCCACTCCACCTCTCTCCTGTTTGCCCCTTCTCCAGGTCACTGTGGACTTACTTTGTAGTGTTGGTTTTGATTTTTCTTTTTCCGGCCTGAGACAGCGTGGTCTGTCAGCACACGAACCCCGGTTTTATGTGCTCTTGCCTAAGCAGAAATATTTATTATTAACTCAAGTTAGAAAATGACTTTCAAGCAGGGAACTTGTTCCAGTGATGTATAGAAACACTTGGGATTTAGCATCTCGTTCAGATCCACCTGAGGACACTAAAGCAAAGCTTGGTCTGTAATAGACACTTGTACAAGTAACACTGTAGACATAAATACACACATAATTTTATTTGAAGAAGGATTTTACAGGGAATGCTCAGGCATTTTTGGAGACTGTTTCCCACAGGTTTAATTCAGCCTGTATTTACTGTGCTGTTTTGTGCTTAATATTATAAACTTATAAAAAAAGGGGGAACAACTTTTTACACAGATAGTTACAAGACAAGGGGGAAAGTTTTAAATTAAAAGAGGAGAGACTTAGGTTAGATGTAAGGAAGAAATTCTTCCTGTGAGGGTGGTGAGTCCCTGGCACAGGCTGCCCAGAGAAATTGGCTTCTTCTTCCCTGGAAATGTTCTGGAGGCTGGGTTGGACAGGACTTGGAGCAACCTGGGATAGTGGAAAGTGTCCCTGCCCCTGGTAGGGGGTAGAATAAGATGAACTTTAAGGTCCCTTACAACTCAAACAATTCTAGGATTCTATGACATTATAATTAAAAAATAGGAAAAATAAAATTAGGAAAGGAGCAAGACTTCTAAAAATGAAAGTTCCATCAACAGTTTTGAGAAGTGTGGAACACTTAAAAACTTGAGCTATAAATTGTAATTAAAATTAAAGCTTGTAAAAATTTAAAGTAACTGATTCACAGGACACTGAATTATCTTAGTGAAATGAAAAGCAACCTGTCATCAGAATGAGTTTGTGTCTAAAACTGGAATTGATCAAATAAATCTTGTAATGAAATTAAATATTTTCAAAAATAATGATCTGGTAATTTTTAGCCATGGCAATAAATGGATCTTCATTATTGTTTAAGTTTGTACACTTAAAATTTTTGCAGTGAGATTTTTAGTACATGTGATGCTTAGAGATGCCTAGTACTTATATTTTGGTACATATCAGGTCTGTGGGTAGATGGTTCCTTTCTTCACAGGCCATGTGGAATTGCCTGAATGAATCCCAAAATGAGGCTGTGCTCTTGAGCCTTACACGTCTTCTCTAAAAACTAAATTTTTTTAAACAGTAAATTTTGTGCTCAATGCAAATACCACCCTGTCTCTCTGACTTTGCAATCTCTTTCACTAAAAAAATTCCCACCAAACCAAACCACCCAAAGTGGAAAAAGCTTTTTGGAGTGGGACTTTCAACTGAAAGTTTTTTCCCTTCTAAGTTTATTTATCTCTGCTTTATTTTATATAAGTCTTAAAAAAATAAATAAACAAACTTGGAGAAGGGTTGAGCATGCTCATTTTTCTTAAGAATTTCCTTCAGCTGGAGCTAGAGAATTAAAATAAAATATAAAAGCTAGAGAAAGGTCAAACACCACTGGAACCTGGGATAGGAAAGAATGGTACAAATCTATAACAAGTTATGTGTGAGTCTATAAGTCCTTAATACACACATTAAATAAGATATGAGCACTAAGAAGCTTTCAGGATGTTTCCTTAATATGTTTCTTTAGCCAGCAACTGCAAACAATAATTTGAAAATACAGAAGAGGGATTAATTGTGTGCATCACTTACAGATTGCAGAAAATTTGTTGTCTGCAGATCTAAGCTGAGTAATTACTGGTGCAGCAAATGGCAACTGGGCAAAGAACTTTTCTTAGAAACTGCTTACAGTATTTTAAACATAATTTACTTGCCAGAAAGTGCAAGTACTTGTGCTGGCAGCATTAATTAAAGAGTACATACAGCATCCTAGGGTGATACCGGTAATAGTTCACATATACACACAAACATAAGTATTCTAAGTACAGCTGATTCTTTCAAAGATTAAAATATCATACACAAACCTTACTTTCAAACTTATTTTTCCAGTAGCCTAAAAGCTGTAGCCTAAGAAATGATAAATTGAAAAGATCCTGAACTTTAAAAATGCTACTGCAGTAAAGAGCACTGGAGCAGAGAGAAAATGCCATCAGCAGGTGCCATTGCAGACTCCCAATCCAGGGTGAATTTCCAAGGAAATTTGCAAATCAAACCTACTTTACATGTGCAGAGGGTGTTCTTCTCATGGTCAGAAAGAAGGAGTGGAAATTAATCTGCCATAACTCAGGATTTGACACAGTGTTCATGTTTTCCACCTGCAGGACCTGTTTGCACTGGGCCTGTAAGCGGAACCACGCGGCGGTTGTGGCTTATCTGCTGCATGCTGGGGCTGACAAGGACATCCTGACGAAGAAAGGGGAGAGGCCAGCCCAGTTAACATCCAAGAGAGAGATCAGGAAGATGTTGGGAGGTAACCTATAGTGGCTGTGCCATATGATCATCAAAGATTAGTAAAAGGCTGTTGAAAGCATGTGTGCTCCAATCTTTGTTTTGCATGTGAAGACACTGTGTTTAGATTTTACTATTAGGACTTACTTTCTAGAGTGTTTACATGGTAAGAAAACAAAGTTTAAGTAAAGGTGATTACCAATAAATTCCATACCCAGCTAGTCAAACTTTTTTTCTAAACACTGGAAATTCAGAAAAACTGTATTTTTAGGAATGCTATGTGCTAAGTAAATGCAGTTTCCAGTTTTCAGAAGAACAGCAGGAGAGAAATCTCTCAAATTTGTAGGAAGCCCTTGTATGAGCAACACCTAATTTTCCAGTTTGTGTGTTGGATAAATCAAAAATTAGCAACCCAGATAAATGGCTCATTAAAGGTCATTAACAGGTAGAGCATCTCTATCGCATTTTGTAGCTGCTGGACCAGAGCAGGTTTTGCTGCTGGAGGTGATAAGTAATTTGAAATGTGGTTGATTAACAACCTCTTGTCTCTCCTTGGTACTCCTATGTCTGGTTTTGTTTTCATTGTTGTCTCTCCCAGCTGTTGAATGGGTAATGCTGCAGCTTTCCCAGTACTGCATGTTCTCTTCCCTTTATCCTCTGTCCTGATAGCAAACAACATACAACCCTTTGTTTTTCATTGCCTGATATATTATGAAGATGACAGCATTATTCCACCAGAGATCATGTTGCCATACCATGTGCTGCTACAGATTAAAACAAGCCAAAACAGAAGTACTGCAGTGTATAGAAGGAATTAGCACCCTCAGAATTATTAGACTCAGACTCAGCTTTTATGTTTGTATGGCAACACCTGAGCATTCTGTTTATTGTAGGAAAATGTCCTGATGGGATATTTGCAGTTCTTCTTCAGTCCAAGGGGGTTCTTTCTCCCCCTTGGACTGAAGATTGATGAGAGAGAGGCAGTTTTCTCTTGTTTGGACTTGGTTGTTTATTCTTCTTTTATCTCCATTACATGTATACAGGGTACAAGGAGTTACCTGCACTAAGATAGAAAGGTGCAAAATGGCTAACAAAGATCTTCTTCAAGGTTTTTTATATGTCTATTTAACCAATTAACAAATGCCAAGTAAATTATTTTTCTTAGTGACCCAATGACCCAACACTTGTGTGCTGCCCTGTGGCATTCTCTATCCAGTCACTCACTATTACCCAAAAACCTCTAGAAAAAGATGAAGAAGAAAGAATGAAAAGAGACAATACCCTAATTCCTCCACCTTGCCTCTTATTTTATAACTATCTCAAACCTTAAACTTCAACCCTCTCACCCAGTGACTTAAGAAAACTCTCTAATTTACACACTTACATTTTCAGTTTTTCTATTTAACAGTTGTTTTCAGGATGTTATATGAAATTCAGTGCTTTCTTGGATGTCAGAGCCAGGTATCAGAGATAAGGGCACACACTCTGTGCCTCTGACTCCAACAGGAAAAAAAGACACAGTGCTTCCTGATGCATCTTCTAACCCATGATGCTTTTAACACTGCATTCCCTTGTGTAAAAAATAGGGGGAAAGAAAAAAAAAGAAAAAGAAAAAAAAGAAACCCAAAATCAGTCTTGGAGAATGTTGTTTGGTTTGTTTTACAGTGGAAGATGAACTTCCAGACTTGAAGCAAGATTCAGATCTGCCAATCGTCCCCAATTACCTGGCTAACCCACCTTTCCCATATGTTTACACCTCAAGTACCAGCATTCCAGATCTTGCCCTGAATGGGAATCTCTCACACCTGGAAGCACAAGACACCATCTCTCCATCTGTACCTGACTCTGACACCTACAGACGAGCACAAGGACCATTGCAGCCTGGGAACAATGCTCCTGAGGTGCCTCCTAATGGGGACATCCCACCCCTGCCTCGAGGGTCTGCTGGGCCATCACACCCAAATCCTCTCCTCCAGAGAGCTCCTGTTTACCAGGGCTCAGTGTCCTGGGGGAGAAGCCCCTCTTCACCAGCAGGATCCAACCAATTCCTACCCCAGCAAGGGAACAGCTCCTGCATGGGGCCTGTGCCAGCCTTTCAGCCTGTTTTCTTCACAGGAGCTTTTCCACCCAACGTGCAAGGTAACACCAAAAATCTCTTGTGGTTTGTGTGAATCTTCTGTCACCCTGGGCAATGCAGACTAATCACATGTTTCCAGAGACTTTCAGATTGCCATGCTTTGGCATTCAGGAAACATTTGAAGGGAATGAAGTAGGCAGATATCCTGTTTCTGCTGGAACTGTTATTAAAATATTGATGTAAACATTTGCTGTCTCACTTGCTATAAAAGCATACAGACACCAAGGTAATCTAATTCTCTAAATAGCATAGTCCAAGCTGCAAATACAGATCATGAGCAAGCAGCCAGTGTGCTCAAGAGAAACTCACATGGCTCAGTCTGCACTGAGCTGTTCTAGAATCTGCCTCTTCTGCAGGGAAACTTTGCCTACCCAGAGAGGGAAACCTGGAATTCCAGTTACCATTCTTTCATTCTTCAAGTAAAAGGCATTGTGATACCATGGGGTAGCAATGAGAAGTAACTGAGAGCAAGAAATACCAATAAAGAAATCTTGGATTGCTCAGGAAATTGGTAACTAGTATAAGCTGCTGGTAGATCAGCTAAAATCAATTAAAAGAGTCTTCATACAGTGGTTCAGACATGCACACATATAATGCATTAGATTTGCTATGATTTTTTCATATAGTTTGATGAAATCAATCTAATTAAAACTGTGGTCCTAGAATTCCAAGTTTGGCTTTCTGATGATTCATGTATTCTTACCAGTGACACAAATGAGGATAATAGAACATAGATATACCTGGAAGTTGCTATAAAGGCATTGTTTCCAGTTCTTTTATACCTATGCCTATTAATGTGACTTTTATTTCTAATAGAACTGGTGCTTAAAGTGAGAATAAAAACCCCTAATCTTAGAGAAAATGACTTCATTGAAATTGAACTGGACAGACAAGAACTGACCTACAAGGAGCTGCTCCGAGTGAGTTGCCATGAGCTGGGTGTGAACCCTGAGCACGTCCAGAAGATCAGAAAATTACCAAATACAATGTTAAGAAAGGTAAGAGCTCTACCTTTTGAAGTGCAGCAACTTACAGAAGAGATTTTTAGGTTACTGTTATAAAGGAATAATTTGTTAGTCACTTGCATAGGCCCATGTTGGAAAAAAAACAAACAAACCCAAACCAAAAATGAAAAATCTCTGCTCAACTGGAAACACTCAGCACTTGTTTGGGATTTCTTAAGTAAAAAGGTTCTCAAATTTCTTGATCACCTCCTTTCATAATCATTTGATGCTGGACCCAGTTAATACCTTATCTTATGACTCTGTTGTAAAATTCATTACAGCATAGCACCACTGTGAGCTGCCAACAGCATTTACAAGGCCTGCAGAGCTCAACCAAACCCTGTGAGTTCAGCAAGGCCTGGCTGCAGTCCTTGCACAGAGGTGTTCTTCAGGGTTACTCTGAACATAACTGTCCTCCCTTCAGTGACATTTACCCTGCAGCCAGCAGAGAAGGGACCTGCTGACCTGTTTCACCAACTCACCACTGACCTTTCTTCCATCCTTAAATCTTTGTAGAGCATTGTTGGCATTACTTGTGGGGCAAATCTGATTAGAAATAGATTAACAGACTTCATTCTGCTGCATCTTCACTGACTACAGGATGTCTTACTCTGTGTTAGTCAAGAAGTGGAGAAAAAAAGAGACATGAGCAATTCTGTCACTTTCCAACTTTGGTTATTGTTGAAAGAACTTTTTATTTTCACCTCTAATCACTTCAGGCTCTCTGGTAGGACTTCAGGACCCCTACTGTTCCTGCAGTGACACAAATCTGACTGTGTACTGCTGTTGGCAGCAGAGCACTGCTGCAGGGGCTCAGAGCTGGCCTTGCTGGGTAGCTCTGAAGGAAGCCAACCACATCCAGTACCTCCTTGGGTAGGTGCAAGCATCAATTCATCAGCTTCCAAGAGTTAGCAAGGGTAGAAGAAAAGGATTTGGTTGGCATGCAGTAGATCTTGACAAGTGTAATCCCACTAATCACTTGCAGTCATTGTCAGTGTTGCATTCCCTCTAAAAATAGACTTATAAGGGCATAGCTGAATAAGACCCCAGAGTAAATACAAGGTGCAGCAGGATATCTGCTTTCCAGTTCACTGTTATAAACTGTCATAGTTATGAATAAATACATACCTTGTGTTATTATTTTAACATACCTCTGCAAAATTAACAGACACTATCACCTAACTTCTTATTGTATTTGTTTAAAGGACAAGGATGTTGCAAGGCTACAGGATTTCCAAGAACTGGAGCTTGTTCTAACAGTAAGCGACAAAAACTTACTTTTCAGAGTCCCAACACTTTCTGAACAGAGTGGGTATAACAAGAAGGCATCAGAACTTATGTACTAATTAAGGAATAAACCAAAATATTTTTATCTTTCGTTTTACAATTGGGTTTGAAAAACATTATCTAAAAGGGCTAATGACATGAAAAAATCTATTTTGTTAACCATGAAATAAACTGAAGTGGTTATGCACATTTACAGCTTCTAGTTAATCTATGAACAGTGAGTGTGGTATAAAAGTAGCCCAATGCACAGGAAGTATTGGTAGAACCATCTGTTAATTCAACACTTCCTTACAAAAAGGTAATGAAATACTGCAGAGTTAGCAGCTCTCAGGGAAAGGCTTACTTTAAGCTGTTCTAATAATTTGTTTGCTATAAAATAGCAGAGGTAGTTGAGCTAAAGAACCTGCCATGAAGCCCATTTAATATTTGTACTGAGTCCATTACCATCAATGTTCTCTTTTTAGATCATGCTTATTACTTAGAGGGGAAAAAAATCCCGGAAGGGTTTAAATCTATAGAAGCACAAAACTATGTCAAGTTTAAATTCTATCAAGTGACTTATTACCTGTGATTTCTTAATCCCTGTTTACACTTTTCCCTGTTTCTCAGGTTGAAACTAAAAGTGTCAGTAATTATTCAAATAATAAATATATACTCTCAACCAAAATCCCTTTTAGTGTTGTCTGTGAGTATATACATGAACAATTGACATGTGCAATTTAATATACTATTTTTGTTACTGTGTTGACATTTCTTCAATGCTGCTTTAATTTCCCCTTTTAAAAGCACAAAAAGTGTAATTTTATTTTCCCTTGACCTACATAACTGAGAAAAACTGCATCTTGAACCTATAGTTACCTGTGTAAAAAGAAACTAGTGAAATACCCAGGGTTTTCTGGGGTGATAGCCAATCTTGATGTTCCTATGCAATGTATTTTCTTTTTTTCACTGTAACTTGTGTTTACCCATGTAGTTTACTGAAAAGAAAATCACAGTTACTTAAAAGTCAGAATTTGATTACTTTGCTGTGAAATTCTCAAATAAAGAAATTGAAAAGTATTTAAGAGCTGGATTTTATCTGATTTTAGTATTTAGCCACTTGAATTTGAGGAACAGTTCTATTCTGGTAGGCCACGAGAATTGCAGGTGCTGTGGATTAGATGAATAAACTAAAGTATGAGATGTAACAGGGAAACAGAATGTACAAACTGGTCTGAATTTTCCTGTTTCTTTGCCTTCCACCTTCCTTCCCCCCAGTTTCTTTGGAAACTGCAGCTGCCAAAGGAATTTATCTTTTGTCTCAGAGCTCAGAGCCTGAGCAGGCTGCGCAGTGTCCGTGTGGCTGCTGGGGCAGGCCTGGGCTGAGTCCCTGTGCCTGGAGCTGGGGACCAAGCACAGTCTCCACCTGTCCTGGGGCTGCAGCAAGGGACATCAGCTGCCTGTGTCACCGTCAGTCCTGTGGGAACTGTCCCCAGAGTGCCCTGGGCTTGCTGCTCTCAGCTCCTGGAAGTGCTTGGAGCACAGGGACTGAGCACACCAGAGGGAGCTCCCGACCTGCTGTCAGGCACCGGGCTGGGGCTCAGCTGCCAGCACAGATCCCTGCTAACACCTGAATTCTCTTTGTGCCCAGCCACCACACTGAAGCTCAGGCTCCCCAGGTGAAGGTTTTGTCACACTGAAAAAGCCTCTTCTGCAAAGTGCCAGAGGTCAAACATAGTCCCAGTCATCGGCGATATCTGTTTTTATACGACATTGCTGGTGGAATATTAAGTTCTCTGTAATGGAATAATAAAATTGTCAATCCTCACGTTACCCTGGCTGCTGCCTTCTCCACAGCACAGGATAGTTCAGGCATTGGCTGAACCCAGGAGGATTCTGGGTTAACCTGTAAGACCTCCTAGAGAAAAGCTCAGCTGTTGGGGCAGCAGCCTTGCACAGATGCTGATCCCTATTTATGCATTCCCAGGAATATTTTTATACCTTGTGCAGTTTATACCAGGAAGATACTATTAACACTCCCTAATCCCATCAGTGTATATCCACTACATTCTGTGTGTGATAAATAATTCATTACTTTGTGCTCTGCTACATGAAATGTTAATGTCTAATAAATGCTTGGCTGCAGATTCGGGTGTCTATTTAAGAAGTATAATTTGTAAGAATTAATAAATTATTATTTTTGTCTTCTCAAAGTTTTTCTGTATTTTCCTTCTGGTAAAACAGGAACTTTTTCTTGCTGGGTGGTTTTCTGGAGTGCTTAATGTAAAACACAAACAACTAAAGCAGAAGAGGTTCTAGCAGATTCTAGCAGCAAATGCTGTTTGAACACAGGCCTCCTTTTATCTGAGGAGGCCTGGTTATCAATAATAAAATAGATAATTGTTTCTGCAAGACAAATCACCCATTATTTCAGATGATTAAGCGTTGAATAAGATAAACTAAGTGCACACCAGTCTCATCATGCACATTCAGCTTAAATGGAGACCAAATCTTAGTGATTTCCTACCCAAAGACATACAGCAAAATTCTAATACTTCTAGTCCAGTTGTGGCCCTGTGGGTTTGTGTGGGGTCTGCTGAGTTGGAAAAAACCTGTAGTTTATGTTTTATATGAAGCCATTTGTAGGTGTAGATTTAAATACATGTTGCTTCTTAGGCTGAAGAGGAATTATATATTGTCAGAGTTGCCCTGAACAGGGATCCTAAAGGTCCCAGGACTCCCTTGTCCTTGGGGAAATATTGGAAGGGACAGGTTGGAACCACTCAGAGGTTACACAGCATTTCACTGTTACTCAGCTGAGTCACAGCTTAGCTGGGCCTGTCATTTCACTTCAAATCCTATGAATTCTTATGCAGAAAACACACAAATCAGGTGTATTTTGTACCATTAATATAATTTACTAATTATAAACCTGAATGCAGTACATAGTTGCACTGTGGTACATACATTTTCTTGGCAGAATATTTGTCATTCTTTGGGAAAAAAAAGAATATAATAAAATACTTTATGTATACAGAAAATATTTAAAAGTATAAAATTCACTTCTCGGTCCTTATAACTGTAAAATACTTTGTTCACATATCACAAGTTTAGTTTACTACAAAAACTGTTTTGTAAATTACAGTACATTCACAAGTCACTTTTGTGGCAAGTCAGTAATATTAAAAAAACACCAAACCAAAACCCAAGGGGTCTTCTCTTCATGCCAGTCCTGCATCTTTGGCCATACTGTAGAAAATGCCCTTTGCTGCTATAAGGTTTGCAGGTGTGTCAAATTCAGCTATGGTCCCATTGTCTAGAACAAGAACCCTGTACAAAACAAAAGATGGTGTGGGGGAATAGATGTGTCAGAAAATTCCTCACAAGGAATGTGGTACCTGCTTGTGTCACAAAGCAAACTACTCTAATCTTTGCCTTGCCTTTGTTTTCCTCAATTATTTTCACATAAAAACACAACAGATGATAAACATTCTCCCTGAGCTAGTGCTGTAAAAAGTTACAGGGCAATCACTGTCTCCCAGGGGCAAGAAGAGGGAAAAAAAGCATCTGGAATTGAAACTATAGTTCCAGAATGCCAAAGAGATAAAAGCTCATGAAGAATACTAATATATTTTCAAGTAATTAAAATGACATGCTGTTAGTGAAGAAGTTACAGCAGCTGCTGGTTTAACGAGGCTCCATAAGCTTCCAGACAGTGCCAGGAGAGCCCCTGGGCAGTGTCCCCTACAAAGGTCTGGTTTCTGAATATAGAACCTGTCCCCTGTGCCAACAGAGGCAAAGTCAGGGCTGGAAATTCTGGGATTATATGGCACACCATTGCTTACATACTGCCTGACAAGAGAACAAGTGTTCATGTCCAGACCGCTCCAAGTGCTGCTTCATATCCCCAGCAAACCCATGAGCCCACCATGCACTACTCACAGCTTTTACCTGGTGTAATCCATGATTGTGTTCAGCCTGTGTGCGATGGTCAGCACAGTGCAGTCCACAAACTGTGTCCGAATGGTCATCTGGATGAGGTCATCTGTCTCCAGGTCGATGGCAGCCGTGGCTTCATCCAGGATCAGGATCCTGGTTTTGCGCAGGAGAGCTCTGGCCAGGCACACCAGCTGCCTCTGGCCAACGCTGCAAGCACAGAGAGCCTTTCAGTGTCCCCAGCTCCCCACTGCTCACAGCCACTTGTGCTCAGCAGGTCATCCATCGGGTTACACATCCAACCATGACACACTCTGCCAGCTGCCTGTTCTGTCAGCCCCACAGCTCACACACACACTGCAGCGTGCCAGCACTAACGGTGACAGGATCACTTACTGCCTGACCCTGTGCTGGCAGGGGCACCAAATGTGCCTTTCATCACTGTGACAAAAGCCAGGGCAGCTAATGACAACATTTCTGCCCAAGCATTCAGAAATACTCACAGTTCTGATAACACTGACCATATGCAAACTTAGGTAAAAAAATAAAAAGGAAAAGAAAATGTTATGAGGCTGCAAGTCCTTTCTACCATAAAAAATAAAATATATACATCTATCTGAGCAACCCAGACTTCCTCCTCTGCCACAAACATTGCCCAGACTCAGTCTCTGAGTGTCTGCAGGATGAGGAAGGAGCCACACATTCATCACAGACAATCTGGTGACACCACAGCCTCAGAAGCCAATGAAGCATATCAAAACATGACATTTTATCATCCCCAGTCAAGTCTTCATGGACCATCCAAATAGTAATGGAAAATAAACATTGCTAAAGTGTCAGGCAGAGAACTCTTACTCAGCACAGCAGTGATGCTATCATGGCATTTCCCTCCCTACCAAAATGTATTTGAAGGACTTCCTGTCTCTAATATCCTGTCATCCTGAAACTTCTTTCTGACAAGATGGGATTTGGGTTTGGGAGAAGAATCAGATCATTTGTGGCAGAGGCAGAAGAGAAGGAAAATGTTTGAACATTGGTCACTTTCTTGGAACAGAAATATTCTGTTGGCTGAATAATTTTGAACATGACAGACCAGTGTCAGTGCTCACTGTCACACCTGAAGGGCAGCTCAGTGGATGCTCCAGTCCAAGCATTCCTTACCTAAGATTCTCTCCACCCTCTGAGCACTCATAGTCCAGCATGGATGGCTGGCTGCTGACAAACCTCTTCAAATGAGACAGTTCAAGTGCTTTCCATATTTCTTCATCTGAATACTTATTAAATGGATCCAGGTTCATCCTCAGTGTTCCAGAAAAGAGAACAGGATCCTGGATATAAAACAAATTTTCATTAGACAGGTGCTTTAGCTGTTTTAAGCTCAGATACTATGAGCTGCTGCCTTGACGTGTCCATTGTACTGCAGTAGGCCACATCCCAATCCCATCCTCTCTGAAAATACATTACATTATACAGTTCAAACTCAACTTTCAGCTCTAAAGAAGGTTTATCCTAAATCCCATTTTATCACTCAGCTTATAAGGTGGCAGGATGGAACAGTTAAAGTATAAATAGTTTGTTTTTCTGAAACAATTTTTTGAGTGTTTCAAAACATTTTCCTCCTTGAATAAACCATTATTTATGGTTTGTTAAGCTGCTAGAAAACATTCCATCATTGTGACACATGGAAACAGTACCTGAGGAATAATTGTTAGCCTTGACCGAAGGTCATGGAGACCAATTTCTGAAATTTTCACGCCATCAATTTTAATTTCCCCTTTTACAGCTTCCAGGATCCTAAAGAGGCAGAGTGTCATGGAGGACTTCCCTGCTCCGGTTCTGCCAACAATTCCAATCTGCAACAAATTGCAGGTTTAACAACAAAGCACGTCGGTAAGAAGAAAACAACGCCCAACAAAAAACTCCCAAAGAACCCTCCAAGATTCCTCTAAGAGGTTTGACTGAAGATCTCAGTCCAAGAAAGAATGTCCCATCTTTCACTAGGTACACTGTAATGTAGTTATTGCCATTCCTGTAATTGGAATGATATTCCATATAAATATCACATCATGAACATAATGAATAACACAGGCCTAGAGCCATCCTACATAACTTTGGGTGATTTGGACACCCATGGTAGGCCGAGT